GTGCCCGCATCCAGGGCGGGTGGGGAGGGTCCTTTGTGTGCTGAGGTGGTCACACCACTAAAGGTGGGGGGAGGGGCAGGCGGGGCCAATGGAATCCCTGTGGAGGAAGGGGACAGGGGGGGCACCCGGGGGGGGGGGGGGCTGGGGTCACCAGGGTGGGGGTGGGGCTGGTGGCACAGGCCCAGGGATCGGGGTATCAGCGGATGAGACAGCACCGGGCAGGGTGGTGGAGTGGGAAGTGAGGGGTGGGATGAGAGGGCGCTCGCTGCTCCCGGAGCCTTGCGGCTGAGCGGCCCACCCCGTCGCCCGTGAGCAGCACCTTATTGGACGCGTCGATGAACTTGACGCCTTTGTAGGTGATCGACAGGATGATGGTGGGGACCTTCTTCATGTGCTCGGTGGACTTCTACAGGAAACACGGGACAGCTCTGTGAGAGGCCTGCTCAGGGCAAGGCCTCCCAGGCCCCCGTCACGTGGCAGGGCCCAGGCGGCCGCAGTGGGCGCTCCCACTGGCTGGCTTCTGTCCGAGTCAGCGCCTACAACCCCACAGACGACCTACCCTCATCTTGGCACAGGCGTCCTGCGTGGACTCTGTCCCTCGCAGGTCTTTGATCAGCATGGAGCCCAGGTACTAGAGAGGGAGAGGTGCCAGTCCTGCAAGGCCTGCGTTGCCACACACGGGTGACCCAACCCATCTGAGACCACCCCAAAGTCAAGTGTCACCTCTCCCTGTAATTCAGCCCTGTCCCAGCTGGGGGCGCCCGCCCTTCCCCTCAGGCACTGGGAGCAGCTGAAGGCTGAAGGGTGGAGAGCAGAGCCTGAGCCCCAGGCCTGGCACCGGGGAGGGGTCGGGAGCAACTCACATTGGCTTCGTAACCACAGGACTCAAAGATGAGCTTCTCCGGCTGGTGTTGCCAACTCTGCACGGGGGCGTAGGGGGCGGCCAGGCTAGGGGGGCGGAGGGTCAGCTTGGCCTCACGGTGCTCCTCCTGTGGGTCACACACAGACTGTGCCTCTCCTGCTCCAGACACCCACAGGCCCAGAAGTCGGCGAGCCCAGGGGGTTCCCGGGTGGGGGAGGGCACGAGGCAGCCAGCCAGCTGAGATGTGTGCGGGGAGCCGAGGAGGGCTCCGTCAGGAGGCTCTGTGGGGCTGACACGGCCTCGGAGACCAGCATGCCCAAGAGCAGGGAGGGACAACGGCACAAGCCGCTGGACGCTGTTCGGCACGAGAGCAAAGGACAGTGCCATGGGGCCAGGCTGGGCCATGCATCCCGGCCAAGGGCCTTGGGCCGAAACCCTGAGGCATTGTGACTAGGGATGCATTTTCCACTGATGCTTCAGGCAGGGGCTGGAGGTGGGAGAGGCCCCTGCAGCCGGTGGAGGAGCGAGCTGGGGCGCTGGTGAAGCACAGAGGAAAGAGAGCCGCGGATGGCAGGGAAGGATCCCCATCCTGCGGCAGAGAGCGTTCACGCCACTGGGCAGCGCGTCTGGGAAACCCCGAGGCCAGGAGTGAGAAGTGTGAGTCCGAGAGAAATGCAGGGGTGAGGCGAAGGTTTGCTCTGAGGCCACGGGGAACGCCTGTGAATCTAGTGTTTGACAAGCCAAGGTGGGGGTCAAGGGACAAAGCCGGTCTGTGCACGGCACCAACAGGGTAAGGGAGAAACGGGGCCAGGATGGGGTGGGGGTGGGAGGAAACTGGGGGGCTGTG